GCCTCCCTGCCTCCCAGCCCCTGAGCATGGCCGTGCTGTCTCTTTGCAGCCTACACAGACGAGCTGGGAGCAGTGGGTGGCACATGTCTGGAAGAGGAGGCCAGCGCTCTGCGGCTGGAGGAGGACAGTGAGCATCCTCCTATGATTCTTCGGACTGACTGAACTTGACCTGTGAACTCTGACCCCCAAAGCAGGGAACACTGGCTTGATGGAGGACTTTGTGTTATGCTGCTATGAACTTTGACCCGAGCTGGAGAGAGGATGGCAGAGACTTTAAAAAAAAAAAAAAAAAAAAAAAAAAGATTGTAGCTGTAGTCTCATTCCATACTGTTGAGAAATACATCGTTTTCACTTCAGTGGCTTTTAATCCTGCTTAGGAATCTTAGCTTTTTGTTTTCTCTTTTTGCCAAAATTAACTGTTTGGTGAAGCCCTTGAAACCTTGCTTTGCATGCATTAACGTGCCAAGCCAGAGTAGGAGAACTAGAAGCCACTTTATGACAGTGGCAGTCGTTGGGTTTTTAAAATCTGTATAGAATGAGGAGTGCACACGAGGAGGTGGCATCGTGCAGAGTGGTCTGGGTGTCAAGGCGGGTTCTGCTCGGGCGGGTCCAAGAGCCCTCTCTGGGCTTGCCAGGCTTGGGGGCATCAGCCGTGGGGAGGAGAACTCTCTCCCCAGAGCCCCCCGTGGGCCCTTTTCCCCCATTTTATTTTGTTAATTAAATTCTTTCCAAATTGGATTATTCTGGGATTTCTTGCTTGCTGGACTTTTATCTTATTTTCCATGTGGGTATTGGAGGAGAGGAGTTCTTTCTGGTATTAAAAATCTTCCTTTCGGACAGCACGTGAACTTGAAAGAACACCTCAGAAGGCCAGAGCGAGGGAAAGTGGTCTCAGTTGTGTAATTAAATTACCTGGTCTTTTAATTTTCCTGTTGAATAAGTGGGGTGATGGGGGAGGGGGTGCTTGTTCTTAGGGAATTTTATAGCTATTCCCTGTACCCATGGAGCACAGAATTACAGCGTGGAGGGCACCCAAACTGCCCTCTGACCTTGAGCCCCGCCGTCTGTCAGGGGCTCTTCCCACCTGCATCAGGAATACTAGAGATAGAAACTCCGGGGGGTATGGGCGGGAGGCTGGCTCTGAGCACCTGCTTCACAGGGTGATATGTGCCTTTTCTATTTTAATCTTACAGAATTGTTCAGAAAAGTGACGGGAGATTGTGGTCACAGGTCCTAGTGTTAGCCCAGCTCCCCTTTTCATTTTTACAGAGTTACATAACCGCAGATACCTCAAACTCTGCATTCCAAACCAAGACATCTAGCAGTCCAAGTTTTGAGGCAATTCAAGTGGCATTAACGGTGTAAAAGATCATTCTAGAATCTTTGGAATGGTGACGGTTAAAGACAGAAGTAAAAAAAAATACATGTATATACATATTCTGGATCCGCCCTCCCTTTTCCCTTTGTCAGGCTTCTGAGCAGGCGAGGGCCGAGCGTCCGCTCCGGGTTGTGTTGGTCGTGACGGTCGCGTGGCCTAGAGAAGGGGAAGAGGGCAGTCATCGGTGGCACGGACGGCCCACCCTACATGCCCGACCCCGAGGTGGAGGCCTTGGTGCAGAGGGCACGCAGAGTAAGTCCTGACTGGAGCGGAAATCTCTAGAAGCACTGGTTACGGCGGCCACCTGAGGTGCTGTGCTAGTTGGAGATGAAGGGATACGCTCTCCTTTGCCCAGCGGCTGGCACGCCGGCCTGCACCCTCATGAGCCGTGAGCCTCCGTCCCAGGTGTGACATGCACGCGTCGGCTGAGCCCCGAGCCGGGGAGGACTCGCGGGGCCCGCCCGGGACACTGCCTGTGTCGGGCCTGCAAGGCCCCCTCTCGGTCCCCTCTGGAGCAAGGCATTGGACTCCAGGTCTTCAGTGGCGCATTTGGCCGGGGTGAGCGTTCACGGGAAAATCAGTGCAAAGGGGCGCACGGCGGGTGGCGGGCCCTGCGCTCGGGCCTCCTGATTACCGAAGACAGAACTGCCTTTCCCGTGTGTTAAACACTGCCCATCGGGGCGTCTGCTGGTTGGCCCCCGCACGCGCGGTGACGTTGGGAGTCGTCGGATCTGCGCTGTGTGTCTCCCGGCAGACGTCGTGCCTTCGTCTGACCCAGGAGCCTGGGGATGCCCTTCCCCGTCTGCCGCCATTTCCTCCACGGTAGGATGGGGGGTTAGAACAGGTGGCCTGAGCGGCTTGCGACTGTCGCCCCTGCCTGCCCCAGGGCCCCGGCAGGGCTGGCCGGGTGCTGCTTTGAGCCGGGGCGTCAGGAGGCCTGAGATGCGTGCGGGGACGGGAAAGGAGAGAACCCGAAGAGGCTGCCGAGATGCTCGTTAGCAGAGCTCTTGCCACCGCCCTGCAAGCTCAGACGGAAAGGCACCGCAACAAACCCGACGTGGCACTAATTTGCTCAACTCCAAACCATACTCCAATGTTAACTTTCGTCATAATGTTCCAAGCTCCCGAAGGAATCACAGGATAGGAAACAGAACCCAGACACTTCCCTCATAGACACGTGTGGATTGGGACCAAACCGAGTTTTCTAAAGCCGTGGAAGCCACGGTTGGAGTCGGATTGAAGCTGGAGTTGGAAACACCTGCGTGCAGCCCCAGATTCTAGCACCTTCCTGGTGGCGTGGCCTGGGTGGGCCCCCCGGGGGCCCGGGTCTCCTGTGCTGGACAGCAGGACGATCCCTGTCTGGCGGGCGGTGCCCGTAAACCCTGAAACAGAAACGGGTCTTACGGAATGCAACCAACGGTGGCTCTTCAGTTCTCGATTCTGAATACTAAGCTGGTCGGAAAAGTAAAATAAGAGCAACAGAAGTATACGGCACATGGAGGGCATGTGGCTCCCCTTCGTCCCCGCCTTTCCCGCTCCACCTGCATGGGTGTCGGGGAGGGGGCTGGGGAGACGCACAGCCAGAGCGCTGCCGGTCCATGGTCCCCCCAGGGCAGAGCCCCCTCCGCCAGCGTGGGACACCGGCTCCCCTGGAGTGCTGATTTGCCCCGCGCCCGCCAAGGGCGGAGTTCCCAGGCTTTGCCTACTCATGGATCCGTTCGGGGAGCAGACGGGAAGACGGGGGCTCTTACAGGAAAGACTAGGTGTGCTCGGGTCACAGCCCCGCAAAAGGAGACGGGCGGTCAGCGGCGGGAACGGCGTCCCTGGCCCCACACTGCTGTCCTTGGCCGCATGCGGCCCCTGCTGGGTTGGTCTGTGTGTCCCCCGCCCTAAGTGCCCTGAGGCCCCGTCTTTGGCATGCAGGGAATGACAGGAACGCTCATTTAAAATGTCTTTGTGACACTGTGGCTAGCACAGCTGAAAATCCAAATACGTTATTTGCAAGTGTACTTACTTAATTCTTAAGATGGACAGGTCGAGAACTTGTGGTTTGGGTCCGGCGGTGTCAGAGACATCAAAAGAAAGTGCATTCAAGCCACTGGTATTCTGTTTGGGAGGAGTGCTTTGTATAGAATCCCCTTTTGTGAACAACGGATTTCTTACTGAAAATATAGAACAATAGCTTATTGCCAAGCAGAGCTCACTGATGGATATTTTAGTCCCCACCCAGGTCCTAACCCTTGGCCCATATTGTACCTTTTCCTTCTGTAATTTTGTGAAGCACAAAAAATTGGATTTTGAGGCATGACCAGCCCCTCTTATCCTTCCCTGGAGGAAGGACCAGGAAAGTCTTTAATTTGGAAAAATTAAATCTTTTTAAAGCTCAGAATCTATAGGGACTGTTTTGATAACGTCCTCTCCATACTGTTCCATTCTTTACTGAGCTGTAATTTAATGACATTCCTTCTTACATTTCCTTTTCAGGCGAACCTGTTGTATGTGCTGCTGGTGTATATGGGGTGGGGGTGAGGTGGGAGTGTGTGTGTGTGCACGAGCGCACATGCACTGTGAGTAAATGTGCTTACTGGTCACGTCCCAGACCCAACGGGACTGGAAAGCCCATTGCTGTTCGCATTTTACAACTGCATTAAGAAATTAAAACCTGTGGTGTCCTTTTCTCCCCCCACCCCCCAATTGCTTCATTCCCTACTCCCAAGCTGTACATCTCTTTTGTACCATATTTAAATGCACTGTAATTCTACGTAGAACATTATGGCAAAATAGCAGAATCCTGAAGTCCAACTGAAATCTTATAAAGGTTTTCATCCAGAATTGATTTTTGTCCTTTGTGAACTAGATGACACGCTTCTTCCCACTAGTATTCTTGGCCTCACCTGAAAGGTTTTCCTCAGGACGCTGCATCTCGCGGGATGGGTAGGGTTCGGCGGGTGAGGGCTGTCCGTGTGGAGGCCGCTGCCGAGGCTCTGCGGGCCCACGGTGATGGGGAGGCCGCGGGAGGAGCTCTGCGCACGTTCAGCCCTCCCCCCACCCACCCCGGACTCAGCTGTGATTTCGGGTGCCGCTTCTGTTAGAAGCCCGTCCTTTGGAGCGCTGCACTGCTGGGCCACACGGCTCCCTCTGGGTTGGAGGACTCGTTCCCTTTACATCAAAGGCTCAGACACATCTGGGTAGCGTTCTGCTTCTGAAAGGCCCGCAGTGCCCCCAGCAGGTGAGTCTCCGAAGCCGCTGGGATCGCCCCTCCTGCTGGGGTCTCCCCCGGCCGCCCTGTTCAAGGACACGCACGCAGCTGTTAATCTCTCAGGGAAACACGCAAGGCTCCTTAAGTCTTTGCAGGTGCTCATGTGGGTTCCCTTTTTTTATAGAGGGCATTTGTGATTTTGTTTCTCCCGCTGTATTTTTCTTCCAGGGGGTTAACGTAAAGAAGTACTTGAGTTCCTTTAGAGCAACCAGGCGTTTTTTTCCCCAGGAGGCGTGAGGCGGGGTGGCCGGGACTCAGAGCAGTGGGGCTTTCTGCCGCCCTTTGTGTCCGTGGAGGGGGCCCCCTTGACCTCCCTCACTTGACCTTCCCCAAGCTAGCTGGAGTCTGCCAGACCCAGGACACGAGCGGGTTCGGACAAGTCCCCGGGGGCAGTCATGCCAAGCCGGGGGTCTGCGCGGTGCTGCATGCTGGGCCGTGTCCGTAAGGGGCCTGTCCTGCGGGGCACAAGGCACCTGAAGCAAGTAAACGGAGAGCGTTCTAAAGTCCGATCCCCTTTTGAAATGATTCCCCGGGACGCCTGGTTCAAACCCGACCGCCAGCCCTAAAACAAGCCTTTAAGTAAAATCAGTGAAACGCTTACAGGTTTCTCCCTTTGCAGCAGCCCTTGCAGTAGCTGTGGTCATGGGGAGTAATGTTTAAATTGAGCGCTTGCTTCCATTCACAGGACATCCCAGCTGCCGCGGGTCCCTGGCTCCCCCAGGGCTGGGCTTGCTCCGCACGTTGTCTCCCAGAGAGGAAGTGCCAGGCACGTTGGCGTGGCCCCCAGCGGGGCTCTTCAGGGGGAACAGGGCTTTGGGAGGTCACGGGGGCAGATCACACAGGGCTCTGTCACGGCAGGGTTGTGAGAGACCGGAACAGGTCACCATTAACTTGCTGGTCTTGAACTTAAATGTAGCTTCCCTGTTGTGCTTTGAGGGTTCGGACTTCCAGCTTACTCTGGCGGGGTGAGGTCCACGGTTGCTGAGCTCTTTTCTAAATAAAAATTGCAAATCTGTTTAAAAATCGAAACCCCTTGTTCCGGTTTACAATTACGCTCCAGTGAGCGACTCGTCTTTGGAATCCCTCAAGGTAAGGTTTTCCTAATGGGGTACACGACTGTCCTACATCAGCCCGAGATGCCACCCTCCTCTGATGCTGTCAGTCCCTTCCCTCCTCCTTCCAGTGAGGGTGGGCCAGACGGTCTCCCACCCGCTGCACAGTGGCCACCAGACAGGGGCTGCGACTCCACGGGGATGGGTGCCCTGGGCTGTCTTCCCCTTTCTCTTAGCTGCTAGGTTGTGCAGGCATTTGTGAGGTGAGGGCCTAGAGGCCCCCTTCCCCGGGCCCAGGATGCAGGAGGCCTGCTGGCCAGTGCTGCCTCCTGCCCGGGGAGTGGGGGTGCGGTGGTCCCTGGCAGGGGCAGGTGGGCGGGGGTCCCCCTGCGTGAAGCACATCCCAGCTGATCTGTGTCCAAACATAAACATTGGTAACAGTTTTCTGATGATCAACACGGAGACTCAGTGTGGACAAATCTGAAAAAATCAGGATGGATGAAGAGGACAAAGGTCACCTGCACCCCCGCCCCGAGCTAACGCAGGGTTAACATTTTGGTGTGTCTCCTTCCAGCTTCTTCTCTAACAGGTCATTTTATAAGTTGATTTCTTTAAATCAGTATGCAGCTCTGCAGCGACCTCGTGTTCTCCCTCAACAATTAACGGGGGCCTTCTCTTTCCAGTTCCAAGACTGGAATTTGCTCTCGGACAAAGGATTTGAGGAGGGGGGGCACAGAGGCCGCCTAGAACTGGTGGCTACTGAGTGAAGGGCACGCGAGGCATTCAGAAGGTATAAGATCACAGAAGGTTTGAACCTAAGACTCCAGCAAGATGGCCAGAATGTGTGAAGGAGCAATAGAAATGTAGTCTCACACGGCTCAGGAGGCTCCAGGTCCCAGATCGAGGTGCCGGCACATCCCGTGTCTGGTTCACAGACCACGTCTCGCTGTGTCCTCACAAGGTGGGAGGCCAGGGCGGGGGGTGGTAGGGGGAGCTGCGGGTCTCCCTTTTAGAAGAACGCTAACCCCACATGTCAGGGCTTCACCCCAGAGTTAGGATCTGACATAGGGATTTGGGGCACAGACATTCGACCCACAGCGGGGTGTGACTCCCATGTGCACAGTGTGCATTTGTGGGTGTTTGGCTTTGGGAAGGTCACCTCCAATGTCCCGGCCACCAGGACTCTCTTCCAGGTTGTCGTGAGCAGTTGGACGTGGGGCCAGGCAGGCAACCTCCGCCATCACCTGGTCGGTGGCCCCAAAGGCAGGCAGGTCCTCGACTTGGCAGGCTTGTTTGAAGGGGCACGTGTGCTGGATCTTCCCTCTAATCCCACCTCAGGCCCGGCGGGATGTTTATGCTCTCTGAGGGCCCCAGCCGCATGCCCAAGGCCCCCTCCTCTCGGGGGGCTCTACTCACAGCCTGCAAGTTACCCGAATACAGAGCATCTCGCTTGTGATCCACGAATACGCAATAGATCGTGAATGGATGGGAGGAATGCAAAGGCTTTTTGTTGGGTTTTGCAGACAGTCACACTATCCCCAAGGATATATTTAGAACAGGACATGTACATACATCTTTCTCTTGGGTTTTCAGGAAATTCCCGTGTGTCCTCGTGGCCGGGTCGTTCTCCGTTCACCTCCTCCTGGGGATGGACGTGTGGGCCGTCTCCCGTTCCGGGCTGTTACAAACAGTGTCCCTGCCAAGATCCTTGTATACATGTCTCCTAGGACATTCCTGCGGGGTTCTGGGTTCTTTCTTACCTGGCAGTGGGTTGCCGGGGGCACGAGGTATACGTATGTTCAGCTTCAGGGGACAGCGCCACCCTTGTGCGAGATGGTTACGGGGTAACAAACATCCTGCTGCACAGCCAATCACCCACAGCTCCGCTCGAAACCCTTCATTGTCGGTCACCACTCCGCAATCCGGCTGGACCCCGCTGCTCTCCAGCAGGCCCCCTGGCTCACGTGGCTGGAACCCTCGAGGTGCCCGGGCCGCTCCCTCACCACGTGGCTGCCTGGGCCTCCTGGCAGCATGGCAGCTTGCTGGAGGTCCGGCTTCCAAGGAGCCAGGTTTCTTTAAAACAAACAAAACCTGGTACGCTGTCGCTTTGACTTCATTCTCCTGGCCGAAACAGGTCAGAGGGTCAGGGTCGGCGGGAGAGAGGGAAGCCAACTCTCCTGCTGATGCGCGGCCGCAGGGGCGCGGGCACCCCGCAGGAGGGGAAGGGTGATGGCCTTCACGCTCGGAGACCACCCCAAGACTGGACAGTTTTCGCTTCCCTGCGCAGCCGTGAGGACTCGGGTCCGTCCGTGTCTCCCCCAGCCCCATGGGACGCTGAATGTCTTGTTCACGTGTGTGTCTTTACAACCGAGAGGAGCACGCCCAGCACCCCACGTCCAAAGGGCCACCCCAAGTCCACGGCAGGAGAGCTGGATTAAGGGTCCCGTGGGCCGTGGAGAGGCAGCCCGCCCCACGCTCCCAGCCTGGCGGCTCCGCTGTTTAAGAAGTCAGAGCTCTATGCATCACGTGGGGGTTGCCTTCTGGGGGCTTCTATTTGCATAAGCCGGGGGAGAGCTTGGCTGCCAGAGAGCTCTGAGCAAAGGTTCACAATAGCAACACACATGCTCTGAAGAGCTTAAAATAAAACCTGGTAAAGAAACAGGCCAGTGAAGGGAAGATGTGATTACCCAGCTGTCACTTAAAACTCATGTTCAGCCCTCAACTCCTCTGCTGCGTTTGCCTGACTGTGTTTCAACCGATCATGGAATAGATCGAGCTTTCACTTCTGAAAGGAGACGCCGGAGAGCCCACGGGGGAGGCAGGCAGGCACCGTGGTTTCTGCTCCATAAATGGAAGGCCTGCCATGGAAGTCTGTGTGGGCTGGTAGGGCAACGTGGAGGGTTCTAGCAACAGGAATGAACTTGGTGGACGCAGAACCACCCCCACTCCAGCTAGAAACGCAAATGCCTGACGGGTCTCAAAAGAAAGAAGGGGAAATGCTCAGGTTGAGAAACTCTAAAGGCAGACCACTGAGATCAGGCTCACGGCCCAGGTGCCCCAGGTGGGGCCCCAGGTCCAGACCGCAGCTTGGGGCCGGACCCTGATTCTATCTGAGATGGCAGCAGGGACAGAAATGGCTCCAAACACAAGTCACTGCCCCGTGAAAAGGGACAGGACGGCCCCGGCCACCAGCCCTGAAGAAGACCCAGGACGTGTGCCGTGTGCCCAGGGCAGGGGCGGCGCAGGGAAGGATTAGGGAGCAGGGACAGAGTTTCTGTCTGGAATGATGAAAAAGGTTCTGGAGTTAGTGGTGAAGGTTATACAACATCGTACGTGTACCAAACGCCACTGAACTCTACGCTTAAAAATGGCTAAAATAGGAAATTTTATAGTACGTATATCTTACCACAATTAAAAGCAAAATAAAAAATACTAGAAAGGAGGAGGTGCACTCTCATTGTCTGCAAATAATATGATCGTCTCCCCGGAAAGCCCAAGAAAATCCTGGAGAATGTGTCCGG